TTGGTCGTCTTCTGGTGGAACCGACCCTCGAATCTCTTCACCCAACACTTTCACTCGAAATGGAAGTAAGCTCAACAAGTCTGATTGTCTGACAAACCATCTAATGGCCGCCCTCCCGCTCATTTCAGGCAGCAAGACAAGTGTAATGGTTGTGGTTGAGTAAAGAGGCTGAAACCTCCGCGTTAAAGTATTGAAAAGGTCTCGGTCAGAGAGACGACAAATGGAATGCAGACAGAATAAGAATGTGAATGAAAGCTGATTTTTGAAGAGTCTCCCGCTCTACCATTTTTTAGCTCACATCCATTTCGCATGAAAGCGTGGTGTCTTTGTGTGTCTCATAAGTCGATGTCGCCAGAAGACGACGGCAGATTCCTCTTGAAACGTTTGTCTCCTTCTCTGGCGCCACAGACGGAGTGTATACATAAAAAATTACTTAATAATGTATAAATATTCGGCTTTTCATTTTAAAGGAGACGGAAGCCTCCGTCCGTCCTGCCTCCGTACGTCAGAGCTAGAAGCCATCAGTTATGAAACAAGAAAAGTGGCTGGTTACAACCATACTCACCTCTTTTGTAGATACGCAGAGTAACTGGGTTTCAGTTAATTTCCTGAGATAATATTGTTTGGGGGAGACTTTCATTTCGTATGAAAGTGTGTCTGATAAATATATTCAAAGGTCGCTGGCTGATTCGCGTCGTACAGCAGTCCACGAGGCATTCACCCTTCGTTTCACCTTTCGTCGATCATGCAAAGGACATCATCAGAGCTGGAACTCATTCTTGTAAAAGAGGTCTTGCAAGAATGAGTTCCAGCTATGATGATGTCCGTCGTATGATGGACGAAAGCTCGTCTCGTTGCGACCCGAAACGCGGAAGGATGTCTCGTGGATTGTATCAACCTGAATGTTTTATTGCAGCCAAACGGCTGCAGAACAACAGCATTCGGCCGTCGTCTTCTCGTGAGATCGACCTTCGAAGCTCTTATTCGTGCACTTTCTTTTAACATCTTTTTTTTGGTTTAGTGCAGTGGTTCCCAAACTGTTCCTAGTCGCGGCGCCCTTTTTCAATTAAAATGTTTCCATGGCGCCCTATCCTAACTATGACTATTCGTAGGTAAGAGATTAAAATGAAAATAAAACTCGTGTATCTTCATTAATTTTTTAATACTTTATTAACATTAAATTAATAGTTAATAATCAATGTGATGTGGATGAGCCTGCAAATCAGTGCACATTTTCTCAATATTTCGTGTGTTGGCGCTTATCTCGTGTAGCATGCTTTCCAGCTCCGCTCCAGCACAATTCCTATTCCATTCTCGATCATTCAGCGCTAACTTTTGGCTTTGAAATGACAATCTGATTCATGCTGAGAAGTCGTCCGGCACCATGCCAGACAAAAGACGATCGACTCGGAAATCCCGACTTTTCCACGACCGCTCGCTCGTTTCTTAAGCACTCGCCTCGAAAGACACCTGACCACT